GATGTGAAGCAGGATTCGGAAGCAGGTGCAAACCCCAGAGTTAAAAGAATAAGAAGTGGCCCCAAAAGATGAATCTTGCCTTGTTCCGCATAAAGAACAAGGACCATTAGAAAGAAAGTGGCAATGAGGGTCATCCTTCATAAATGGCGATTCGAGGTGCCAAGCCTCGTCCCAAGATTGTGGCGGATCCACTCTCAACAGATTCATGTTCTCGAGCATGACGATCTGTAATGTCTAGCTAAGGACGTAAAACAAGCGCTTGTTGGGAGGACCCCCAATGTCGGTTTGCATTTCTTTTTCTTGATTTTCTTCTTTTTGTGTGAGTGATAAGAGTCAAGTGTATGAGTTTTGAATTATCACCATGCCATGGTTGATGTGTTTATGTCTAGGAACATGTTGTGTTTGAGTTAAGGGCATGGTTGAATCGATTGAAAGCTAAGAATTGTGGAAGGGCCCTGTTTTTGCACACATAATGATTTTTATGTAATCTTCACGGTCTCAAACCATGATTTAATGGTTCGTGTGTTATTTTCGTGGACCCCAGCACGTGATTTTAAATGTACCGTGATATCGATCCAAAACTAACAGTTTCTGGTCAAGAAAACGGTTTGCCTGTCAGGATCATGGTCTGAGACCATGATCTCAGCATCAAAACCTTGAAGTTGACCCTCGGGTTGTATAAAAAGGGTGTGAAGTTCACAACTCGTGAACTTCAACTCGCCGAAATCCTATGAAATTCTTGCTAAAAATCGTTCTACAGTACAATTTTCGAAAGATTTGATCTAGTTTCGGGCGCCCAAATAAAAAACCAAACTCATACCCAGATTCCTCTCATCTAGGCTCACTTTTTCTTAGATTTTGGGGGAGCTAGGCTGTGATTTTGTTGCCAGACATCACTTGTGCCATGGTGGCACCGTAGTAGCTTCAGTTTCTTTCTCCACCCTTAGACTTTAGACTCTTTATTCATTTTCTTTTTGTTTTGTTGAACTATTACTACTATTTTGTTTGTATTTTCTTTTATGTGATGTTGAAAAATGTTATTGTGTAATAACCTCGAGTTGTGCAAGTGTGTTTGTGTTTGTCCCTTGTGAGCTCTCTCCCGCTCAAAATTGGTTCATCTCCAGTTCAACTTCCACTCACCAATTTTATGAGGTAACTTCGTTCCACCCTTCTTGGTACTCAAATGAGGACAATGTCGTGCTTAAGTATGGGGTAGGAGTGTGTACAAGTAGTTGTGATTGGTGTGTGTGAATAACTTATGTGAATGACCTATTTTAATGTGTTGGAGCCTTCTGATTTCCAAATTCCTAAATTTTGAGGGCTCCAACCACTTGTGCGTGAATGAATGATGAATGTTCGAGATTGAGATGTGTTTTGGAACCTAGATTCTACTTAAATTGAAAATTTTAGGGTTCCAATCACAATTGTCCCTAGCATGATCTTGCTCAGTTTGCTTTGAATTATTTGATGACTATGATAGTGTGAATTATAGGGAATAGTGAGGTGCCATGAGAATCTTTAATAATTAGTGGCTTTACTTCAATTTCCTCTCAATTGTGTGAAAGTGTTTGTTAAGGACATTAGGACATGTGTGTAGGACTTAAAAACGTTTGGCAAAAGGTGCTTCAAATTTGAATTTATTTTTTTGAAAAATTGAGGTTCTCACGTGAGAAACAACCGGTCATATTGTTTGAGTTGAACCGTCAAAGGGCACTTCTCTCGGTCTGGAGTGCCATTGAGGATGTGTTTGGGGTTCATATATCTTTTTAGCGTCCTGATCATCTTTCAATACCTTACATCCCCCGAACACCTCTTCTCCTCGTGGGCTAGTATGGCAAGAGACAAAGTCTCTTTTAGTGAGTAACGAGACCCCGGCTCCCATTTGCACCCGACATCTGTGGCAACCCATTTTTTGTTGAGACGTGGAAGTGCAGGTTGGGAAGTGGTGCTCGGGCAATGAATCCGACTATCATGTTCCTACATGGGGCCTTGATAGGGAAGGCAATGTTCCTTTCGCTTTTGGTCACGAAGGATAGATGCCTTGATTCTCAAAATTGCAAAGTGGTGTTGTGCATGTCAATTTTAAGTTGAGTCTCAAAAAGTTGAATCCTCTTTTGAAAAGTGGGAGCACCACCACAGAGTCCTTAGATTTCAACGTTTTGTATGAGTCACACAGTGCATACGTGAAAGGTCTAGACCTCTTTAGTTGACAAGGTCCTCAACCGAGAGTGTGCATGGCACGAAGAGATGGGAGTAAATTTTACCCAACTTTGAATATTATCGAGGCACCACCGATGATTGATAGTGCATACCATTGTTTTTGTCCTACAAGTTGTACTGGTGTGCATAGGTTTGCTTGGGGACAAGCATACGTTCAAGAGTAGGGGGTTTGATTCAGGTTAGATTACACACTTTTGCACCCCTTTTACTTGCGACTTTTGATGTGATCTTTTGTCATATTTCAGACCTAATCAGGTAATCTTGGTATGTAGATTGAAAGTCGGGTAAAAGAGGCTGAAAATGGAGCAAAATGGCTGAAAAAACAAAGATCACGGTTTGGGAGTAATTGTCACGGGCGCAGACTATGATGTCAACACTCCAACCGATAAATTTGTAAGGTTCTAGGGGGGATCGGTATGGGTCGTGGTTAGTGTCAAGATCATGGTATCCAGACTGTGATGTCTACAAGCGGCCCATGAAGTTTGTTAGTGAAAAGGTGCACTTTGCGCCGAGAACACGTACGGTTTCACTATTGACTTCACAGGCATGATGTGAGATTGTGATATGTGAACTCGAGACCTATATAAGGGAGAGTTAGCTGAATTTAATGGGAAGAGTCCTAGAGAGAGATTGGAGCTTCTTATTCAAGGTTTAGAGAAAGAGCTACAAGCTAAGGAAGAATGAGGGAGGATTTCACCTACCCAAGGCTAGAGGAAGGTTGGTTTCTTCTACTAAGGTTGAATCAAGCATCTAAGAAGAAGGAAGATCATCTTGCTATGGGTTTTTCTTCTCTCTTATTTTTGTTTTCTCCTCTAGATATGGAGTAGTCTCCAATTTCACTTGGATGTTGTGAACCCTAGTCTACAATGTGTAAGATTGTAGGAATTGAACTCTATGTGTGTTGAGTTTGTGATTAATATAATGATGAGGTATTATTCATGGAACTTGGGTGTTGATTGCTCATATCTCAATTTTGGGACATGTTGACATAGGAGGTAATCCCCTTATAGCCCAATCTTGGCAATTTGGGTAACCTTCTCTAGGGAAATTCGATCCATTCCTCATTCATAGAGGTAGTGCCATGATTTCCTCTTGAATGGTTGCTTTTTACCGTTATGGACTGACTTTCGAAGAAACGGTTTTTCAATCCTTAGTCGAACGACTAAGGGGTTTGGGTTTCCTAACTAATTATGGCAATCCTTAATCGATCAATTGAGAAGCTTAGGGTCACCCTAGCTAATTGTGACTTCCTCACGGTATATGATCCTACTTATCACACTAGAGTTCCATTCGTTGTATCTTGACAAGAGACTAGGGGGAGCAATATTCGAGTGATTATTTATTAATCGAACTCACCAAAGTTATTGCTTTTCTAATTTGTTTAGTCTTCTTAGCTTTAACCACAAAATGATTGCTATATAACATGTGAACAATTGAAGTAAGAATAGATAGATCGCTCTGATTGAGATTGAAATACTTATTTTATCCTACATCCGTCTATAGGTTGCACTTGACATATAGTTGATATTAAGTGTAATGGTAGCCGAATCAGGGTGCTTAAAGAGTATTTATACACATGGTCTAACAAAAATCACGCAAAATCCTTGGATAAATTCATGGGTTTATTATCGGGTTTGAATAAATTAAAAAGTATGTAGTCCATAAATTATAATATTTTGTATCTCAAATTATTAACCATAATTCAACCCTATATCAAAATTTAGGAAGGTGTCAAGATATGACCAATACTAAATTAGATGGGCGATAGAGGATTTTGTGATTTTTTAACATTAAATCAAAATAAAGAGCTCAGCAATAATACATCCAAATATAAAAGAAGGAATAATACTTTTTGGGTGTTTGGGGCCTAGGGAATAGAAGACGACGGATTAGCATAATGTTGCTTTTTGGCTTCCAATTTGGCATGTATTGATAGAATAAGACTAATATAAGGTACAACAATTAGTTGAAAAGTTCTAAACTTTAATGTTGGGCTTAGGGCAAAGTTTTCTTGTAGCCTGCTAGTGAAACATTTCTGGCTTTCTGTAGAAAAAAAGGAATGAAGAGAGGAAAATAGACTAAAATACCTTCTAAAAAATTATTGGAAGGTACTAATTAACGCCCTAATTTTTTGAATTTATCGTCCTAACTTAGACAATTTGACGTTTTTGCCCCCAAAAAATTCTCAATATATAACCTAATTCACCCAAAAACGCCGCCATAATCCTTTGTACAGCACCGTCGTCGCCCCAGCCTAATTTCGCTCTGCTCGGCCGTCAGCCGCTCGAGGACACATCTCATCGCCACCGTACACCCTGATTTTCTTCCCCCATCGTCGTCTTTTGCCTGGAAGTCCTCGCCAGTCACACCCGCAACTGCCCATTGCTCCCACGTCGCCTGTCGCTCTGCTTCGGGTCCCGTCACTGGAAACCGTCACTCGTGGTCATGGCTCTGCTTTGGCCGATCGAGGATGCCTTCCGTTGTGTCGCCATGCCTTCCCCTGCGCCGATCGAGGATGCAGAAGAGAGAAAAGAATCCCTCGCTCAGGCCATGCCTGCTCAGTGCTCTGATCGGGTTGCCAATCGTCTCTGCTGGCGAGCGACGATGAGGAGGAAGAAGGAACTGCAGCCGGATCAGGTTACAGAATCGGTTGGGTTGGTTGCAGAATCGGATATGATTGGTTGGACAAATTATTAACAAACTAAAATAATTAACAAAAAAAATAAATCCTAAGAGGAAAAGGAAATCATAATTATTTAATTTGGTTATTTATAACTTGGGTTAATTGTATTGTTGGTCACTGAGATTACAAAAAACGTTCATGTTTGGTCACTAGAAATATTTAAATCCAATCTTGGTCACTCTAATTAATTAAATGGTTCAAGTTTGGTCACTCTCCGTCCAACTCCGTTAACTCTTGCTTATGTGGCAGTCAACTTTTATAATTGAACGTTAAATATGCGACGTGGAAATTAAAAAATAATGAATTTAATTTTTATACTTTCCACCTCATTTCTAACTGATTGCTGACCGACCCAAAATCATTAGAGAGTTGTTATTAGAAGACATAGAAATCAAGCAAATTAACCCCAACCCAGAATCAAATTCCCCTTTTCTTCTTCTTCTTCTTCTTCTTCTTCTTCTTCTTCTTCTTCTTCTTCTTCTTCTTCTTCTTCTTCTTCTTCACCCATCCACTTCGTAGACCTTCTTCCTGAAATTCTCCATGGAGACCAATTCCCCTGCCTCCGCCGTGGGTGTCGCGGGAAAGACGTCGTTCCCGAGGTAACCGATGGGGAGCGGCGGGTTGAACCACGATCGTTCGTCGGTGGAGATGTGGAGCTTGGTGGGTTGGTCGACGGCAAGGTCATGGGCTCTCGTGATGGCAGAGTAAACATCACAGCTACCGCCATGACTATGTTCGACACTGCTTATCGTAAAAACTTATATGTTTTTACGATATTTGCTTATCGACACTCCTCAATCTCCCTACAATTCTTGCACGACTAAACCTTATATGTTTTTACGATATTTAATTGTAGGGAGATTTTGGAGATGATGAGGGTGACAATTTTTATTACACATAATTGTTAATAAGCGATGTTGTTTATGATACCCATGGCGAAGATTGTGCGGTGGCAAAGGATATTGCCCAAAGAAATAGATTTTTCTTGGTTGTGGGATCAGTCAAGCGAAATTGAGGAGAAGACTATCCGCGGATATATATGGATTGCAACCATGGTAATAGGAGCAAATCATATACTCCAGATTTGACGAAGACGAGACGGGTCAAATCAAAATCAGGGAAGCAAGGTTGTCAATTTCGAGTGGTAGTGCGGGCTTCATTGGTAGATGGCAAATGTCAGTGGAGAATTTTGGGTTATATGGACAAATCAAGGAAGTCAAAGGGATTTCACAATCACAAATTGGAGGTTTATTCTTAAGGAATCAAGCAAAGGAATGCTCTTTCACAGGAGGGAAAAAAAACAAAATTAAAGAGTTGGAGGCAACACATACTCAGTCGAGACTCGAGAGATATAAGAAGTTTTATAAATATGAAGTATGATGCTCATCACAACATGGATCAGGTTTATAATGAGACAGCAAAGATGAGGCGTGAGAGATTGGGTGGCCTTTCCCAATATGCGGTGGACATTGATAGAAACTATCCGTCTTGGCTACTTCATTGGGCTTGATTTTGATGATGACTGTCGTGTTACTAGACTCTTCCTTTGCCATTCAGAGTCTATTAAGATGTTGAGGGCATGGTATTTTGTTATTTTGATAGACTCGATGTACAAAACCAACAAGTATAAGCAACCACTGGTTCAATTGATTGGTGTTAGTCCAGTGAAGAAGAACCTCGACATAGGGTTCGCATTGGTTTCAGATGAGATAAAGGAGACATATGTTTGGGTGTTATCGCAATTGAAGAATGTTCTTGGTGGTCGACGACCAGATGCGTTCACCACTGATAAGGAGGGAGGGTTAGGTGTCTTCGTTCATGAGATCTTTCCATCTTCAGCTCATTTACTATGTGTGTGGCACATGAAGAAGAGCATTGAAGCCAAGATGATGTCTCTCGGGATAAGTCGAGAATCTGCATAGGCATTTGTAGTAGGGCATTGGCAGAGACTGTTGGAAATGAATGAATAGCTTTGAAAGCTATAGAGTCCAAAGGTGGAAAAACTACCACATTGGCAGTTTTACTTGGTGAAATGTGTATAGAGATACGAGCGTCTCTCCTAAGGGCATGCCCCTTGGTGTGACCCACTTTTGTGGGGGAGCGAGGACCTAACAGACAACCACACACGCGCGGCACCGTCTGTCCGTCCGACCTACCGGTCAGTTGGTTGGTTGGTTGGTTCACTAGACCTGGCAAATGAGGACCCGACCCATTGACCCGATCCGAACCCGCCCGAAAAATAGAGAATGGGTTGAGGTTTATATAACCCGAAACCCGAATGACCCGAACCCGATTAACCCGTATTTTTTGGGTCGGGTTGGGTTGGTTTGTGGGTCGACCCGCTAGACCCGTTTCATTGCATATGTCACTCTCAAAATGATAAAATCACTCATACTTTGGTGAGATGTTTAAAAAAATTAATTATTATTTGAAAGACAAGTTTGGAGTGTTAAGATAATCAAACATCATTTGTTTATTGTAGTAGTATTACTTTCGTCATTGTTTTTTGACAATTTGTGCAATTTGTATTTCTTTTCATTAGCATGGAACGAGTTGAGCATTTGTTAATTGACATGTGCTAGGCAAACTATTGTCGCTCATACGTAAAAATTTGTGTTCTTTAAAAATTTATGAAGTATGTTTGATATTGTTTCTGAGAACGCTCATGAACCGAAACCCGACCCGAAACCCGATGGATTGGGTCAATATTTGACCCGAAATAAGCAAACCCATCATGACCCGACCCGTGAAGACCCGTAACCTGAGATTTCCAACCCGAAATTACCCAACCCGACCAGATTTCCAGATCTATGGTTCACTGAGACTATATATTTTTGGAGAAATTCCGAACAAAATTAATTATTAGATAATTAATTATTAATCGCTTATTCGAGGGAATATTCTAAGGATAATCGATTAAAAAGGAATATTCGAAGGATAATCCCGCCAGGAATTATCTTACAGACGGGTTTTAATTAGGGAAGTAATTATCTTCCTTAATTAATCCGACTTATTCCTCAAGCAAGAGGGTATATTCCTAGCGGTTCGGCTCTTATAAATAGCCGCCTCCCCAGCCCCTCTAAACACACCACAACGAGCATAAACACAATAGAGAGAGTGTTCAGAGAGCTCCGGTTTTCGCACAAAACCGTCGAGCATTCGAGGAGCTGTTTTATCCTGGAGACAACCGGCTAATAGTCTCCCGTGCGCGTCGAGGGCAGTGCCGCGAACGTCTTAAAGAGAGTGACCTAGTCCGCGACTCAGCTCCAGATTTGGTAACCTCATCCCTGTTTGTTGTTCCATTCCTAACAATTTTAAGACGTTTGGTTGCTGCTATTTCGACTTAAGAGAACAACATGGCCGGATCTGGTGCTGTCAATATCAATCGACCCTTCCGCTTCGTGGGAGTCAACTTCCGTCGCTGGAGACAAAAGATGGAGTTCTACCTGACCACCAAGAAGTTGGCACACTGCCTCACCAACATGCCCGTCGATCTGCCGGAAGAAGCGACCAATGAGGAGAGGGTTGCTTCTGCAAAGGAAAGGGAGCATGACTTGCTGTGCAAGAACTACTTCCTCAACAGCTTGGCAGACGATCTCTACGATTACTATGCGGGCAACAAGAACACCGTGATGATGGTCTGGGATGCGCTCCAAAAGAAGTACGACACGGAGGAGGCTGGAGCTAAGAAGTATGTTGCCAGTCGCTACCTGCGCTACCAGATGGTGGATGACAAGTCCGTCGAAGTTCAGTCCCACGAACTTCAAAAAATAGCTCTTGAGATCGTCTATGAAGGTATGCCTCTAGACGATCAGTTTCAAGTTGCTTGCATTATTGATAAGCTACCCCCTTCGTGGAAAGATTTTAAGAATATGCTTAGACATAAAACTAAAGAATTTTCTCTGGAAAGTTTGATTACTCGCCTAAGGATTGAGGAAGAATCCCGCAAGTAGGATATGAAAGAAGAGGTGATGGTCGTCACTACTAAACGACACACCCCTAGAGCTCTTAAACCTAACCATAAAGGTTTCAAGAGTAAGAACCAGCAGGTCCGCCCCCACCAGAATGGTGCCTCTTGAGGTAACCAAAGGGTCATGGCCCAAACCTCTAAGAATGGCCCACCGTTTATCTGCTATAACTGAGGTAAAGCTGGTTATATGGCAAAAAGGTGAAGGAACAAGCCTAACCTTGCTGCTACGGCCAGGGTTAACTTGACAGAAGAGGATTTGATAGCCATGATCACGGATATGATCGATGAAGTCAACCTCATAGGTGACTCAGAAGGATGGTGGCTGGATACAGGTGCATCGAAGCATGTATGCAACAATCGTGCTATGTTTAAAACATATACAGAAGCACCTACTGACAAGAAAGTGCTACTGGGGACTACTCACACCACTATGGTTCCTGGTTCTGGTGAAGTGGAGCTGAACTTCACCTCTGGGAAGAAGATGGTGCTCAAGGATGTGTTGCACATTCCAGAGATAAGGAAGAATCTTGTTTCGGGATATTTTCTTAATAAGGCTGGGTTTAATCAATCTATTGGGGCAGACTTGTATACCCTTACTAAGAATGTGAGTTTTTTGGGAAAGGGATATGCATGTAATGGGATGTTCAAGTTGAATGTCGAAATTAATAAGATGAATTCTTCAGTTTACATGGTGTGTGATTTGAATGTTTGGCATGCTCGTCTTTGTCATGTGAACACACAAATTGTGAAGAATTTAAGCAAGCTAGGACATATCCCTAAACTCTCAATGAATGAATTTGATAAATGTGATTTATGTAGCCAAGCTGAAATAATGAAAACGCCCCATAAATCTGTGAGTAGAGAATCAGAACCCTTAGATCTGATTCATTCTGATATTTGTGAACTAGATGGGACGTTAACTAGGTCTGACAAGAGATAATTTATCACTTTCATAGATGATTGCTCTGATTATTTATTTGTTTATTTGATGAAAAACAAAAGTGAGGCCCTTGACATGTTCGAGGTATTTGTGGTTGAATTTGAAAATAAGTACAATCGAAAGATAAAAAGACTTAGGAGTGGTAGAGGATCAGAGTATGACTCTAATCCCTTCAAGGAATTCTATAGCTCACATGGTATCATTCATGAAACCATGGCACCATATTCACCAGAAATGAATGGTAAAGCTGAGCGGAAAAATAGGACGTTTACAGAATTATTTGTGGCTATTATGCTCAATTCTGGAGTTGCTTCTTCTTGGCGGGGTGATATTTTGTTGCCGATTTGCTATGTGCTAAATCGTCTTCCAAAAAAAATAGAAAAGAATCACCCTATGAGATCTTGAAGAATAAGCCACCTAATATGTCCTATTTAAGAACGTGGGGCTGCTTGGCCTACGTAAGAATTCCGGATCCTAAGAGGATTAAGTTAGCTAGTCGAGCATATAAATGTGTCTTCGTTGGCTATGCGCCCAATAGTAAGGCATATAGATCCTATGATTTGAATGCTCATATTATAATAGAATCATTGATGTTGATTTCTTTGAGACACGATTTCCATTTAAAACAAGAAATAGTGGGGGTAAAGTATTACCCGCTATTAGAGATAACGGAACTAGTGGGGGTGTTGGATCTAAGGATGAACTCAGAAGAAGTAAAAGAGCTAGAATCTCTAAAGATTTTGGTGATGACGTACTACAGTATACACCCTCGATGATCCAAAAAGTTTGCAGGAAGCACTAACTTCCATAGACGCATATTTTTGGAATGAGGCCGTTATAGATGAAATGGAATCGTTAGAAGCTAATAAGACTTGGCATCTAACAGATTTACCTCCTGTTTACAAAGTCTTAGGTAATAAATGGGTTCTCAAAATGAAACGGAAATCTGATGGTGCAATCGAAAGGTTCCGAGCTCAACTAGTAGTTAAGGGCTACAGGCAGAGAGAGATTATAGATTTCTTCGATACCTATTCACCAGTATCTAGAATAACATCCATTCGTGTCATGATTGCTCTTGCTGCCTTGAACAATCTCGTGGTACACCAAATGGATGTTAAGACTACTTTTTTGAACGGTGATCTGGATGAAGAAATCTATATGGAACAACCAGAAGGGTTTGTTATCCCCGAACATGACACGAAAGTCTGTAAGTTAGAAAAATCTTTGTTTGGTTTGAAACAGGCTCCAAAACAGTGGCATGAGAAGTTTGACACTCTCGTTCTCTCACATGGCTTTAAGGTGAATGAAAGTGACAAGTGTATTTAATGCAAGTCAGAGAATAACACTTGTATTATCGTATGTTTGTATGTAGATGACATGTTAATATTTGGTACAAATATTCACGTGGCCAACGAAGCAAAAGCCAGTTGAAAGAGAGATTTGAGGTGAAAGATCTGGGAGAATCAAAGTTTATGCTTGGAATCCAGATAACTGGAACAACAAATGGTTATTCTCTAGATCAATCTAGCTACATAGAGAAGATCTTGAAGAAATATAACTATTTCGACTGTAAACCTGTGTGTACTCCGTATGATGCTTGTGTAAGGCTATTTAAGAACACTGGAGACAGTGTAAGACAATCAGAATATGCTAACATCATTGGCAAACTCCGTTATAGTGCGGATTACACTCGACCAGACATTGCATATGTCTCGGGATTGCTTGGCAGGTTTAACAATTGTCCTAGTAGAGAGCATTGGAATGCTATAGAGAGGGTCATGAGATACCTCAAGAGAACAACAATCCTTGACATACACTATCAAAGGTTTCCTGTTGTACTAGAAGGGTATAGTGATGCGGATTGGAATACTCTATCAGATGACTCCAAGACATCCAGCGGGTATGTTTTTAACATCGCTGGTGGAGCTGTGTCTTGGAAGTCAAAGAAACAAACAATCCTAGCTCAATCAACTATGGAATCAAAGATGATAGCACTAGCAACGGCTATTGAAGAAGCGAGTTGGTTGAGAGGATTGTTGTCAGAGATTCCCCTATGGGAAAGGCCGGTCCCTCCGGTATTGATCCATTGTGATAGTACCACAGCTATCGCTAAAGTTGAGAACCGATTCTATAATGGAAAGAAACGACAGATTCGCCGTAAGCACAGTACTGTAAGAGAAATCCTAACGATAGGAGCAGTTAGGATGGATAATATAAGATCCGAACAGAATCTAGTTGATCCTTTGACGAAAGGATTACCTAGAGAGAAAGTCCAGAATACCGCCAAGGTTATGGCACTTATGCCTACCGAACCACGGACTACAAGTGATAGTAACCCGACCCAATAGACTGGAGATCCCAAGAAATGGGTTCAATGGGTAATAACAAGTCATGAGTAGTATGCGAAAAGTTCATGCATAATGAAGCACGAATCCCAAAGCAATGGAGGTTGAGTTAATAACTCCTAATGAGATCTATACCCTATGTGGGGTGGAGTACTTTACTTTGGGGGTACTCCTGATAGACTCACCTATGTGAATGTGGGAGTGGGGCCGCTCCTTATGGAACTTTGGAGGCACAAAGTTGCTAGAGCGTTCACTAAACCAGGATAACGTGCATGACCATAAACGCACGAGCCAAGAAGAGAACACAACTCAATGAAACGATCCGGTGTGCTACACTGTCTGAGATAGGGTTCAAGAGTATGAGTCACCCTTACGAAATTTGAAGTGTAACCGCTAAGGTTCAAATCTTCGCGATAACTTAGCTTATACCCGATCTTATGGAACTGTTGATGCTCAGAGATAGTTTCAAAACTATTCAAGTGGGGGATTGTTGGAAATGAATGAATAGCTTTGAAAGCTATAGAGTCTCAAGGTGGAAAAACTACCACATTGGTAGTTTTATTTGGTGAAATGTGTATAAAGATAGGAGCCTCTCTCCTAAGGGCATGCCCCTTGGGGCGACCCACTTTTGTGAGAGAGGGAGGATCTAACAGACAACCACACACATGCGCGCCGTCTGTCCGACCGGTCGGTTGGTTGGTTGGTTCACTTGAGACTATATATTTTTGGAGAAATTCTGAACGAAATTAATTATTAATCGGTTATCCGAAGGAATATTCTAAGGATAATCGATTAAAAAGGAATATTCGAAGGATAATCCCGCCAGTAATTATCTTACAGACGGGTTTTAATTAAGGAAGTAATTATCTTCCTTAATTAATCCAACTTATTCCCCAAGCAAGAGGGTATATTCCTAGGAGTTCGGCTCCTATAAATAGCCGCCTCCCCAACCCCTCTAAACACACCACAACGAGCATAAACACAATAGAGAGAGTGTTCAGAGAGCTCTGGTTTTCGCACAAAACCGCCGAGCATTCAAGGAGTTTTTTATCCTAGAGACGACCTGCTGATAGTCTGCCATGCGCATCGAGGGCAGTGCTGCGAACGTCTTAAAGAGAGCGACCTAGTTCGCGACTCAGCTCCAGATTTGGTAACCTCGTCCCTGTTTGTTGTTCTGTTCCTAACAGAGACTCATGAATGCCAACACTTACAGCCTGTTTGGATACAATTCCGGAAGAAATGGAAATGGAAATGGAATTCAATTTTTTATTTTTATAGAATTCCATTTCCAATTCTAGTGTTTGGTATAATTCCTACAACTATGGAAATGAATTGCACTTTTAACCATAATGAATAATGTAATATGTTTGTTTTATTTTGGGAAATGAAATATGAATGAGAGAGAAAGAGAGTAAAATGATAGTGGGTCAACAAAATAATAAAAAGTATTGATGGGTCCCACTAATTCCATCTTCATTCTCTCAATTCCTATCAAAAGTGATAGGAATTGTAATTCTCATATTTTAGACCCATTGGAATTCAATTCTCAACCTTTTTATTATTCCAAACATAATATATGGAAATGGAATTGGAAATGGAATTCCAATTCCTTACTTTTTTGTCAATCCAAACAGGCTGTTAGGGAAGGTTCCAGAGGCGTTGGGTAGACTTGCAAACTAGTCATTGGGGTACAAACCCACGTTTCATGAACTACTTGAGAGGTGAGTGGATATCATATGCGCAAAGGTGGGCTCATTACTACACCAATCGTGTTTTCCATATTGGTAACACGAGCACAAACATGGTAGAGTTAGCTCACTCTTCCTTGAAAAAATGTCTTGCCAGTGCGACCCACAAGATCGACACTCTCTTTCTCAGATATCACACATCCATTGAGGGAAAAGTAATTGAACTAAGAAAGGACTTAGAGGATTCGCGATTGAAGGTATGTGTAGTTTTTCTTCAATGATGTTGATATTCCCCCATATACTCAATTTGATTTTGACTTAGAAATTTGTTCTTTAAAATAGGTATTTAAATTAGTTGACGGTCCCATATGGTCACTTGAATATGGAAGTAAGCTTGTGGGCAATTGAGTTGTTGATGAAAGAACGAGCAAGAGAAATTGTTGAGCGATGTGGATGTCGACTACATGAGCCACATGGTCTACCATGTAAATGTAAGATGGATGCAGTTAGTGATGTCGGCGTGGAGTTACACCCTCACAACTTACATCGATTATGGTCATCTTTGGTGTATGAGTGTCCTCCTGATTGTACAAAATTGGAGGACCATGATGCCATTGAGCATGACATTTTTGCAACCATGGTGGAGGATGTGAACAAGCAAGGACCAGCTACTGTCTGGAAGGAATCTCAATTACTACTCCCTCATATTCGCCCACAAGTTGCAGGCCTACTAGACCCTAGGGAGTTAGAGACTCCAAAGGGACGGCCATCAAAGAGATCGATGACTCGCTCTGACTATCACAATAAAATCCCACCTAAGGTCCAAGTATAAACCTTAGATGAGTACAACATAGGGCAAGTATGTTTAAATATCAACCCGGGCAGGCCCATGTACCGCTACTTCGATGGTTTGAAACATTATCTAGCGGATGGTTTTGGTGAAAACAAAGATCTAAAGCTAAAGTACTTGCAACGAGAAATGGTTTTGATACTAATTGAGAAGGCTTCACCCGGGTGTTATAAACCATAAGGAAGTCTAACAGGTAGCCAAAGCTACCCTCTTACTCTCTAGGTTGAGGAAAGGGGTACGATCCAAGCCACTAATGCGACTCTCTCAACCTATTGACTAAGGATTGGTTAGAATTCACCTCAAATCGAATTTCGGACGGCCACCCACAACCAAACCCTAGGTGCTAATACGAAATAGGAGGTTTACCCTGTATTAACCTAACTAGGAGATAATGAATTGCCCAAGAAAACCTAGCATTCAAGTCCCTTTCAAAGAAAGGAAGGGGGTTTTCTCTCTACCTAGGTTAGAATGGCAATTAGATTGATAGGCTTTAACACAACACAATCATTCATGAATAATACCTCCACATTCACATTAACTTAAACACAACCACACACAAATCGTTCAATTCATACAAACATTCACATAATTGTAGTTAGGGTTTACAAACACCCAAGTGAAAAAAGGGACTACTCCATGCTAGGAGAAGGGAAAACACAAGAGAGAAGAAGGAAAACCATCAAAGAGATGCTAGCCTTGCTCCTTGTGTTGAAGAGATCCTCCTTTGGGGAGGAATTCCCAATTCCTTGCTTGGAGATGAAACACTAGCTTCTCCTCTTTTTTGGTTCGTCACTTTCTCAGTCTAGAAATCTGAAGAAGAAGAAGAAGAAGAAGAACAAGAAGAAGAAGTTTCTCACACTAGGTCCCTCCCTCTTCTTCCTTTCAGCTGGCCTTTTATACTGAGATCGCGCCCAGTTCACGGCCCAAGTTCACAGCCGTGAACATCAAGATGCGTCCGTGAACATCGTGACTTGATCAAAACGCACCACTTCACTTCTGGGGTTCACGGTTTGTGGTTCCTGTTCATGGTCTTAGCGACCGTGAACAGCCTTGGCGTCAATCACCTCAAAAACCTCTCTGGACTCCTCGCGGTTCACGGGTTGTGGTTGCAGTTCACGGTCCTGGCGACCGTGAACTCCAATGATGGACCGTGAACACGGGCTGAATCCTCCTCTTTGCCCGGTCTTTGCTCCTTTTTTCCAACTTTCGACTCCGGGGTTGGTTTCGCCTGTTAGACTCTGAAACACACTGAAACACAAGAAACCTAGCGTAAAACCACCCCTTTTGGAGCTCAATTGCCACAAACATCAAAGAGAAAAGGGGATAAAAAGTGTACAATTAGACCCGAATCAGTCGAACACTAGAGATCTTTTTTGGTTTGAGCATGAGAGGACACAGTATGCAAAAAGGAGCAAAACAAATCAGAACACGAGAAAGACACACCAGAGGACTCCTGCAGGTTAGCAAAATTCTTATCTTTTTGGTGTAATCATACTCTTTGTTATGTAGTCGTTTACATCAGGGTTTTTTTCCCCCAATATGAGGTGTCTCGAAAAGTCAACATTTACAAGTCCACAATGAGAGAAATGTTTGTCCTTAGCTCCGTTATATCCCACCTAGCGTCGACCCTCTTATTAGAGGTTGGTTTGACCCAAAACCAGAGGGGCAATGTGGTTTTCGGGCCATGTCACATGCGATTTATGGAGAGGAGGAACAATATTATAAATGAGGCAAAATCTTATCACAAAAATCAATAATCATTGGCCTATCTACGAGAAAGTTTATCTTTCCAGAGGTGGATCGTTGGAGGCAGTACGTCACAAGTTGGATCATCAAACCATTGGGAGTTGCATCCGAGAGTATTGGTTTGAGGAGGTGGATTTGCTAACATTTGCAACCCTGTACAACTGTGCAATTGTTGTCTATGGACTGTATAATGAGTGGCACACGTATGGGTACATCGTCTTACCTTTGACTGCATCGAAGGGGGTCACTCAACCTAGCAGGGACGGAGCCAACGTGTATGAAGGGGGGGCCATGAAATTTTAAAATAGCATAAAACGTGAGTAATGAACATGAAAAACAATTGCAGCCTAGTGGTTAAGGATGTAGTTTATTATCCTCCACCGTAGAGAGGTGGATGGTTCAAATCCCTCATTTTTATTCATGTTTTTCACGTTTCTGTTTATAGTTTCTGTTTATAATTAAATTGTTAAGCTGAAACACCCCGATCCTTTTAAACAACCGAAATAATCATGGCTCCGGAGCCGGTTAAAAACAAAGCTTGAAAACTTAAACATTCCCAAAAAAAACGTCAAATGCAATGCCCTAAACACGTGGGCAAAACTCAAAAGCATAGTTAATAAACCTCAAACTTTGAACCTCCAGGTATACTCATTATCATAAACACAACTGACTAAACAAACTATAACTCCTTGCTTAATTCCGGGACATCTCGTCAATGCTGGTGCGGCTGCTCGCCTTGCCTTGCTCCTCTCAAGCTCGCTGCTCTCTAACTCCTCTTAGTACTCTTCAAACTGGTGAGTGAGATGGGGTCAGTCTACGCCTTACGTTTATTACTTTTAATACTTGAGCACTCTGCTTAAAACACTTACTTAAACTTAGGGAATGGTTTGTACTTCCGCCTTTAAAATTTAACTCTTAAAAACGTATTATTTCTTCCATTATCTTATTGTGGGGCCCCTACCTCGACTTAGCTGGCGCCACTACTAGCCTTACTAACTTTCTTATTTCTTAAACATGACTACCCTCACAATGGGGTGCCCCTCAAATGGGTTTGATCACCGCGGAACGAATCACCATCCGGTGTCAAACTACGGTGTGACTACCGCGGAACGTATCACCATCCGGTAGCACACCTAAAACTAAGCAATGGAAACCGCGAAACTCATCACCGTCCGGCTCCAAGCCTGACCAACTACCGCGGAACGTATCACCATCCGGTAGTGATCAACTACCGCGGAACTTATCACCGTCCGGTAGGGATCCTTCTAGCTAGTGGCTAGCTAAGCGAGGTTAACTTATTCTTGCTTATGACTTTCTCTTGCTCTTATCACTTTAACTTAATCGTCAAACGAAACGTAAAAGCTTTAATTAAATACTCAAAGCTCATAAACATATCCTTCAAACTATGAATCAAAAGAACACACTACATCACCCATAAACATAAGCAAGCACACAATTTCACATAAAACAACTTCTTAAACACGCAAGGCAAATACTTGAAAATACGTAAGGCGTAGAATTTACCCCCTTAACACTCACCTCGAATCTGTCTAATCCGACTCTGATTATGCCATAAAAATTCCATGACTCGCTTCCATTAAATTCTCCTCGTTCCCACGATTCCATAGGCGTCGACGGTTCCTCGTTTGGACGTCGATTGATCGAGTTATGACCAAAATAAATATTCCGTCAGTTTAAAAGTACCAGGTACCAAAACTGTAATTTTCCAGTCAACATAGTTGACCACGGCCTATTTGGAAAAATTACAGATTTAATCCTCAAACCTTTCGAATTGACAAGATTAGTACCTGAATTATTCGATTTGCATCCCAAACTTTCGAGGCTCGTTCCTTCCTCGTCCGAAGTCGGAATTCAATTTCTTTGACACGGTGACGATCCTGGGAACGTCCTCAACGCAACCATATCGACCTTTTGAAATATATTTGACGTTGATTTTTTTCCAGATTCCGGCGACTCCCCGCCCTAGCTCTAGCGAGGCTCCGATGAAGCTCATAACGATCTCTAAACTGAATTCTGATTCCATAGATAGATTCTGGATCTTCTCCTGAGTAAAACCCCGTGTTCATAATCCTTCATTTCCTTCTCTTCCTATTCCCACACTTTCTCCTTTTTCTTTGACGTGGAGCAAAAACAGGGGATTGTTCGACGGAAAGGCCTGCGCGCGGGGAGCGTGATCGCGGGTTCAGACTGTACGGGAGAAGATGGTGATGCCGTGGCGCAAGGGGGAGGGAGGGATCGCCAGTGGCCGGGCTGCAAGGTCTTTGTGCGAGGGCGGAGAGGACTGGAGGAGTCAAGTATTTTTCATTCTTTCTTTCCTTCTCTCTTGGCGCTGCTGGGTTTACGTGGTGGGGAATGGGGAAGGTGTGCTGGGGAAAGTAATTGAAGGGGTTTGTTCTTGGGAAATTATTAGGGAAGTTAATTGGGGTTAATGGGATGGTAACGGGTGGGGAGGGAGTGTGAAACCGTGAGGGAGAGTGGGAGAGGGAAGAGAGAGCGTGCACATTGGGGGTTTTTTTTTCCCTTCTTTTTTTTTTATTTAAAATCCATTAATCCTTAATTAGGATTCCATAGAAATTAATCAAATAAAACCCCCAACTAATAATGTTTCACACTACCCAAACCCAGACCAATCTGATCACCGGTTGAACATAACTCAAAATTTCAGGGTGTTACATAAGCGATTCATGTAGATATATAATTTTACAGTTTTGTTGAAATTTTAAGTGGGTTTTATATAAAAAAACATTTGTGCAATTTAAATGGGGTAAAAGTCACATTTGGTCACTGAGATTACTAAATTGTGTCATATTTAATTACTAGAAAAATTTAATATCAATTGTGGTCACTTAATGAAGTTGTACGAAAACTAACATGAGAGTGACAAAATGTGAACTATTTCAATAATTCGAGTGACTAAATGTGACATGTTTCAGTAATTCGAGTGACCGGAGTTGGACGGAGGTTAACATGAGAGTGACTAAATGTGACCTGTTTCAGTAATATGAGTGACCAAATTGATATTAAAATTTTCTATTGACTAAACATGACACAATTTAGTAATCTCAGTGACCAAATGTAGCATTTACCCGATTTAAATGTGATATGTATATGTTTTTACATATATCTTGACATTTTTTACAGTTTTGATAAAAACTACATGTATATTAAAAAAAATTTCGGCCCCCCTAATAAAAAATCCTGGCTCTGTCCCTGCAACCTAGTCAAGTTATGACAGTGGTTTTTACTGGAAGACATTGGGTGCGACTATATGTCGGCGAAGTTGATTGGTGACACCAATACCTCCTTGCAGTCCACACTAGTCTCATTTTCGTAATCATCCGTAATAATAGTAATTGTACATTAATTTTATCTAAATCACAATATTTAAATATTCAAACAACCAAACCGAACCGGAGATAAAGATGTCCTGCCATTCCTGGTCGAGCCCGCTTACGGCGTTAAATAGTATGGGCATGCAATAGCTTTCTAAATTGCGCCTGGTCTAAAAAATGTGGAGTGGAGAACCCAAGCAAATGGAGCTGGGAACTCCAAGCAATGAAGCAATAGTGGCCAATCGTTAGCCCTTGAGATTTTGTCTAAAGGGAAGAGGGGCGAGAAGCCCCAAATATCTGCGGTTTTGCGGTAGCCATGGGAAGCAAAAGCGCAGCTCTCTTCCCTAATTTGAAGCTCGTCCACGGCTGCTGCTCCTATAAACCCCTCGAGTCCATTGGACGACAGCAGCGCGACCATCATCACCAATTACAATTAACCTCGCCGTCGGCTTGCCGCGCGGACGAGAGTCTGCGGAGAGGGAGATTGAGATTTGGTGTTTCAAGGAGCAGGAGAAGCTTCGGAGACAGAGCGGTGTGCTTCGCGGCCGTGGATGATGGTGTCAGCGGGAAGCAAGAGGAAGCGTCGAGTTCTGGCGGTGGTATCGCCTCAGTTGTTGAGGAGAGGCCTGGTAAGCTCGAATGGATTGTTTTCATGATTATTTGATTTCCTCCGAAGTGGAATTTGTTATACTTGAAATATGAGAGAAGTGTAAATTGGAACCTGAGATTGAAGTGATTGTGGATTGAGCAGATATTTCAATTTTGCTATTAGTAGGATAGGAGAAAGCCAACTTAAACATTGGTGAGAATTGGACAGGATGAAGGAAATGGTAGACACGGATTAGAAGGGTTGGGGAAGGAGAACAATCAGAATGTGCTTTAGTGAATGGAGAGACTGCTGAAGAGAATATCATGGATGGAAAGTGATGGAGAGGCAGAATTGTATAAAGGAAATGATTAGGAAGAGAGGAATTTTTGGGCAATTTAGAGGACAGGAAGGCAGTGGTATAGAGGAACCACAATTAGAAATAAGCCATTAGAAGTTGTCAAACTTGAATTGAACATAATGCAAAAGTCAATTAATAATGGAGCTGAATAGTTGATTATCAAAGAAATGCAGGGATGGATAGAATTTGGAAGAGCTGGGAAAGAAGGGAAATTGAAGCAAAAATAAGTTAAGAGTCAGCATTCTGCAAGCAAGTTGATTGTTAAATATGGGTAGCAATTTGGGTCTGCAGAAATTGAATATGGTCAGAAGCCTACGTTTTTGTTGTGCATTGCCAGTGAATTTAGTACCTGTTATTGTTCCACTCGTGGATGCAGGCAACTATGTTTCAATAATTTCGACCACACTATTTTGGTTTCTCCTTATTGGATTGGCTGTCAGTCATTTTCGTTCTTTATGTATTCTGCTTTATAGCAACATGGTAAAGGCACAGGGATTGTCCATTTACAGAACTCACTAGCACCATTTGAATCTCTCTCGTTCTGTTTGTTGGTGAGGGAGAAGGTTTAGTGAAGATTTATGCTGATATCTTCGCCACTGTTTTAACAACAGGGAACAATTGATAGAGATAAATATGCTTTTCCAGTAAATCAATTAATGATTACCAACATGGGTTTAGTAAGTAATTGTATGAGGACTGTCAACTGTGTCACTTCAAATATTATCTTTACTTGGAAGAAATTCTCAAACTATTTTAAGAAGTAATTCAATGTCCTGAGGTCAGTGACCTGCATACAGTTTACCTCATCAGGCGTAATTTAACTTTTTTTGGGTACAAAGACGGACACAGAGGGGAGCCCTAACCCGTTGTATAAGGGGTTCTATAACTCAAATTAATTTATTGGTATTCTTTTTCGATGCAGTTGAGAGCAAACAAGTGACCCCCGATCAAGAAAACAAAGGAGGTGCAATTTATGATTTCCTGTATCCAGACAAAGAGCTCCTTCCAGAGGACCAAGAAATGAGCTTGTTTGATCATCTTGAAGAACTGCGTCAGAGACTATTTGTGTCAGTGTTGGCTGTTGGAAGTGCTATTGTGGGATGCTTTGCATTTTCAAAAGAACTGGTTATGATTCTCGAAGCTCCAGTTAAATCACAGGGTGTACGTTTTTTGCAACTTGCACCTGGAGAGTTCTTCTTCACCACTTTGAAGGTTAGTCAGTTTTAGATTTCCTCCAGTGGCTAACAATTGTGCCATGCTTGTTTATTCGTTCCTATTATAAACATCAACTTATAAAATTACTTTTATGTTCAATTGAAATCGACTAACACAACAGAACGATTGTTTCCGCAAGTACCCATTTTTGTCTGACAATCAACTTGTTGAAGCAATGTAGGTGTCAGGGTACTGCGGCATACTTCTGGGAAGCCCGGTGATTCTGTACGAAATCATAGCCTTCGTACTTCCAGGTTTAACGAAAGCCGAAAGACGGTTCTTGGGGCCAATTGTGTTAGGGTCATCAGTACTTTTCTATGCAGGAATCGTCTTCTCGTACTTGGTGCTGACGCCAGCAGCCTTAAACTTCTTCGTGAGCTATGCTGAAGGTGCTGTAGAATCCTTGTGGTCCATTGATCAGTACTTTGAGTTTGTCCTCATCCTCATGTTCAGCACAGGCTTGTCTTTCCAGGTAGTACAACCTCTCGTTACTTTCCTTCAGTTCTCCCATCTTTCTTTGCGCTGAGACCTAGTATCGTGAATACATTGGTACAGGTTCCGGTTATCCAAATTCTGTTGGGGGGTGTCGGACTAGTTTCAGGAGACCAGATGCTCTCAATCTGGAGATACGTGGTCGTCGGCGCAGTTGTTGCAGCCGCTATACTCACACCTTCTACTGATCCTCTAACTCAGATGCTCTTAGCCGGGCCACTGCTCGGGTTGTACTTGGGTGGGGCCTGGGTGGTCAAGCTAACCGGTCGATGAGTTGGAACCCGCCGAGTTTGCAAAATGGAAGGAAGGAACGAATGAATATGAAGCAGATGATATAACGAGGGAAAGGTGAGGAAACAGTCCTGTACTCCTATACGGGTATATTTGTAGCCGGACAAGAGTATATAGCAATGCCATGGGTTAGGTTACGGAGATTATAGTCAACCAAGCCAGACAAACCAAACCAGTCCCGCCCAGCTCAGATTTGGTTGTCGCCATGTTTAATTACCCGAATACTGTAGAAACGAGGTTACACGATCTTTCATGTAATAAAACATCAAACAATGTTGTCTGTATAAGGCTTTTTAAGCCACTTTTATTTAGGAAAGTCGTTTCTATTGGTTGGAAACTTGGAATGGGTCCAAGATAGGCTCAGTAACTAGTGGTTACTGACCCATTAGTAACCACACGCGGGCCGTAGATCTGGGGATGGAGAAATCGTGTGGATGGACTGGACGCTGGATGGGTAGGGATATTTTTGTCCGTTTTTGTATTTTAAATTTTTTTATTTATTCCGCATTTCAATGGCTGTCTTTTCAATGAAAGAGAGAGAATGATCTTTTCTCTGCAACTCAACTTTCTTCCTTCTCTCTTCCTTTTTTTCAATATCTTTCTAGATCCTTTCTCTTTCTCTATTCATTCTCTCTTACTTTTTCTCTCACAATCTTCTTTTCAAATCTAAATCTGTTCTCTTCCTTCTTCATTTTTTTTCTCTAGTATAAAAATTGTAGCCACTCTCTTTCATTCCATTTCTTCTCTTTATCAACTCGTTGGACTCAATTCCGATCTTTCTCATTTTTTTGGCATTTTGGTGTTCTTGATTGAGGAAGAGGAAATGAGAGGCATCAGAAGACGATTTTTTTCTCTCCCTCCTTCTGTTTTTTTCCTTTTAGATAATATATATTGATATTATGACTCTATACCATATGGTATTGGGTGGTAACAAAATATATATTGATATTACCACACTATACCCTATGGTAATTTATGGTATTGCATGGTAACGAAATATATATTGATATTACCACTCTATACCATATGGTATTGTGTGATATTACCACACTATACCATATGGTATTGTGTGGTAACGAAATATATATTGATATTACCACTCTATACCATATGGTATTGTGTGGTAACGAAATATATATTGATATTACCACACTATACCATATGGTATTGGGTGGTAACGAAATATATATTGATATTACCACACTATACCATATGGTATTGGGTGGTAACGAAATATATATTGATATTACCACTCTATACCATATGGTATTGTGTGAATTGTGTGATATTATCACACTATGCCATATGGTATTGGATGGTAACGAAATATATATTGATATTACCACACTATACCATATGGTATTGGGTGGTAATGAAATATATATTCATGTGACAAATATTACCATATCATATGGTATGCTCTTGTTTAATACCAGTCAATACCATATAGTATAGACTGGTAATAACTGACAAATTTTTTTGTGTCCAAAAAATATCAAAGTGGATATCATTTTGAAGAGCACAATTAATCTGGTCTAACTGTGCAAAAAAAATTAAATTTCGACTTAAAATGAGTGAGAAATCGTCCGTTGAAGATTAAGAAAAGGAAAATTAAATGTTTTCCGAGGAGAGAGAAGGAGGCGCTGATATGCTCCGGTCAAAAGTGAGCATCAACAATAAATAGGAGTAAGTGCAATTTTACCGTACTGCCCTTTTCACATTTAATTTAAATAAAAAAAGTGACTGACACGTGGGGACCAGGGAAGGGGTTACTGATGGGTTACTGACCCATCAGTTACTGACCCGATCTGGACCCCTTGAAATGGAATTCACAAGGCCAAAAATTAGTTAACTGTTAAATTAATCTGTTTTTATGTTTTATGAATTTAGTTGGCCCATTGACCGGAACAATTTATTTTAACGAGTGGTCACTATGAGAGAGTTAGGTTGTTTCATAAGAGAGTTGTATTAATAATATATATATATATATGGTGGCTTCTATGGTACCCCGGGTGAAATCCGGGGTACCGCATACCTCGAGTATGGAAACTCTATCTAGACCTCGAATTACCAGGATTTTTGTGTCTGATATTATACCCTAACCCTTAATGAGTGAACCCTAGGTCATAATTATCTAAATCATAATCTATAAACCCTAAGATGGTGCATTCCTTTTTGTGCCTATATTTGGATGAATCATAACCGTCGATTATTATTTCTAATTAAATTGATCTTGGAGTATAATATTGGGAGAGTTAACACCTAGCTTTTGATCTTTAAGTGTTAGAGTATAGTATCATGTCCGAAAGATCGGTCAATTCAAGGTCTAGATAGTGTTTTCATACTCAGGGTATGCGGTACCCCGGATTTTACCCAGGGTACCGTAGAACTCGCCCATATATATATATATATATATATATATATATATATATATATATATATATATATATATATATGGGTATATATATGTGGGTATATATATATGGGTCAGACTGGCGTACGTCAGACGTATACTATACGTCACGTACTACTAGTGAGATATCTCTATCTAGACCATGAATTAAATCGAGAATGGGTTATGATACTATACCCTAACCTGTAATGGATAAACCCCAGGCACCGATTTTCTAAACCCGAACCCGATGTTTGATTTAATGAAAAACAAAAACTGACCGTTGAGATTGGCCGGAGATCATCTAAGTACATCTAACGGCTAGATCACCTGCTGTATACTATACGCCTGACGTACACCATATATATACCCTAACCTGTAATGGATAAACCCCAGGCACCGATTTTCTAAACCCCAACCCGATGTTTGATTTAATGAAAAACAAAAACTGACCGTTGAGATTGGCCGGAGATCATCTAAGTACATCTAACGGCTAGATCACCTGGCGTATTCAGTGCACCCACTTTTTTGGGTGCACTCAGTGCACCCGCCTCATAATTGTCATTCTGAGCATGTGATTCATGTCAAAACGGTATCAATTGTTGCTTATGATATTATGAACAAGAAGCACATGAATTTGAAAAAATTTCATTCAAAATTTACTTTAATTTGAAGGATTTAGGATTTAGGGATTTAGGGTTAGGGATTAGGTTTAAAATTTGATGTAATATGGACACTTTTAGAGTGGGTGCACTGAGTGCACCCAAAAAACTGAGTGCGCCGAAGTAGCCACCATATATATATATATATATATATATAAAAGAATGTATGTTAGCACTTAAAATTATGCAAATTTATACGTCATTTTTAGGTGCTATCAAATCCTTCACACTTGGATGTTTGCTTGCCTCGAGCAAACATGTGATTACAATTTACAACATGCAACTCGAAGCCCTAACCTTTCCCCTTGATGTGAATCGTTGGAGTTGGATCACAAGTGACTAGAGTCGTCTCAATCTTACATATATCCATGGTCGACTTACTCGAGAAAATTTTGCTTGGAATGTTCTCGAGTGAAAGAAGATAGGCACAAGATGCAAACTTAGGTTCTCGGTGTACGTAAGAAGGAGAATTGCTCTTCACGGTCATTTTTCACACCTTCCACACAACATTTCATTCCTTTTTGGGGTTGTATCAACATTAAAATTTTGATGTTTGGTGTTTTCGAACGGACAAGTAGGTGCCTTGTGCATTTTTGCTTTCTTTCCCCTACCTATACATCGGCCCATGTGGAGGGGCCGCTACGTTAGAATACCTAACTTTTGAAAGGATTGAACCGGGGCTGAGCGGGGTCTCAGGCACATCACCCTCAAACATGACATGTGATTGGAAGTACACATTTTGTATGAACTACTCCATATATGGATGTATACACATTGCCTTTATTCAGCCTCGTGAGGGCATCCTTATGTTCATCTACTCTCCCTTCCCTCATCAATTGATCGGTGCCTCACACATAAACTTTGAGAAGTTAAAACCCACTAAATTTTCTCTAGTTAAACTTTGATTATGGAACACACAAAACGGAACATCGTCCAATCCGACCTATACCCGAGAATCAAACTTCGCACACGAACAAACTTATCCCTTCATTCACTAGTCAAACACTCGAACGGGGATACATCAAGAAATCAAATAGAAACACTTCATTTCAGGACATCTAACGCACTATGCTCCTTAACATTGGATGAGAAAGAGAAGGTAGGTCCGACAACTCAAAGCATGAAATCACATAATAAACATTGGGCCTACGTGGAACCCTAAAATTTTAAAAAATTTGGAGCAATATTTAGGTTCCATGCAAGGTCACTGTCATGCCTATCCAATTCACCAAACACATATCCATTTGACATTTTTATTTTAACAAACAATCATTGGTGATTTCATTTATAATCATAAAGAAGCTAGTAGATCAAATATTGGTGTAATTTACGAACGTAGCATTTTCGAGCCAATTTATACACTTTTGTACCACTTTCCCTTTGCCATTTGACTTGCGTAGCATCGTACTTGGAGCCATTTTATGTTAGGTTTTGTCATGTTTGAAAATGTTTCGGGCTCTAGCAGGTGAAATTGGCGATCGAAAGTTGAACGAAAAGGAGCCAAAACAGGACCAAGTGGTGAAAACTATCAAGCTTCACGGTCCAGGAAAATCTTCACGGTCTTAGGGCGTGAAGAATCCATCAAAAATATGAACAACACAGGATTCCATGAAGACCAGGACGTCTCCCAGGCAGGTTCATGGTTTACGATCTCAAGGCGTGAAGATTGCAAGCAACCCGTGAAGTGTGTTAGTTAAACATCGCTTTTTCGATCGACATCACAATTCCACTGCACAATTCAGGGTCGTGACGGGCGAGCGTGAACTCTGGACTACTGGGTATAAAAGAGAGGAGAAATCAGATTTGAAGGAGTTAGTTTTTGAGAGAGAAATTAGTGATCTTCTTCAACCCTACAGAGAGAAAGTGACGAGCAATGAGAGCTTGGAGGAGAATTTGAGCTACCCATCAACCAATGAAGCTTGACTCCATCTCCATGAGCATCTCAAGCAGCAAAGGAGGAAAGCCTTCTCATCATAATGATTGCTTCATTCTATTTGGTTGTGTTTCTCACTCTAGCCATGAACTAGTCCTCCTATTCACTTGGATGATGTAGAACCCTAGTCTATTATTTTATAGTTGATTCATTGTGAACCCTATGCTTGAATTTGCATGTTGATTATATATTGATTTGAGCATTATTCATGAAAATTGAAGGTTCTTGATCACTTCCTCAACTAGGGGCTAATTAACCCAAGTGAGATAATATCTCCTTAGGCTTAATTTAGAGCATTTCAAATTCAACACTAGGCATCTAAGAACGAGTGTGATTTGGTTGCCTCAATTGCCTGGGTTGGTTGTTTGGTACGCCTCTCTGGGTAGTGCCATTGAGTAAGATAGGATAACTCGTATAGGAAGTCCTATCTAGATTAGAGCTTCCTACGCTATATGCTAAGTGTTAATCATGCTAGGGTGTCACAGTGTCAACTCGACATAAGTGTAGTTAAGCTCGAGTCAAGTCTTTTTTTTTTTTAGATCTTGTCACCACCTTTGTGAGTTCGAGTTCTCAGAAGTTTGAAATGATTGAGAAGTTCATGGAGGTTAAAACAAGAAAGTTTTCCTTGACTGAAGCAGGGCTAAGGAGCCACCAAGCTAGTATCTGAAACTTGGAGACCCAAATCAACTAGTACAACATGGTTATATTGTATACATGATAGTATAAATATACTAATTGTCATTTACCACATTTCATTGTCGTCTACAACCAGTTTTCACCCTACACTGGGTGGTATATTTTTAAAAAAATATAGATCCAATATACCACGATGAACTCGTTCCTGCTGGACAAAATTTCTCAAAATTCGAGTTAAAAACGAAGGTGCTATCAAGTAGTATAAGGTGGTACCAGCGTGGTAACAAGTGGTGTAATTGGAATACAATTTTTCTCAAAATATATTGAAAATTTATCTCATTTTGTAGATGATAACAAACTCATTTCATCTGTGCAAACTTTTTTGAAATCCGGGGTGGTAACGAGTGCTATAGTTGGTAACTTGGTATACAAACTTTATTCTCAAAATATAATGAAAATTGATATGATTTTGTATATAATAACGAACTCGTATCATATGTACAAAAAATTTTGAAATCCAAATTAGAATAACGAAGATAAAAGCCAATTAAAAAATGAGAAAAAAATAAAAGGTAGTCATTTTATTCCAACCCTTAAATCACATTGAACGAAATAAAACCCCCAACATCTCATTTACTGTTTCGCCAGACTGCTTTCACTATGCCTTTAGACTCATCTTTACTGTTATAGCGTGGAGTGGACTTTAGTGTGGGCCGGTGCACATGTTCTCTACTTAGATTTGGATTATGTAGTCTGCTTTGAACGACTACCGAAGAATTCTGGTTGGACGTTGGAGGAAGAATAAACTTTTTCTGGTCGTGTTGAGACTTGAGACCATAGAGAAAAGAAAAATTCTTTTATGGTTGCCCTTTCCTCCCGTTGATCATGCGGAGGCGTCTGTATCCCACTTTTTTTTTACCTAACTGATGAGAGAGAAGGAAGAAGTCTTTTATTCATTTGGTGCTCTTGATTCTCCATTCCCTAATCCTTTTCTTTTTATACTCTCGGCATTGGCCTCTTCTCTCTCTTATCTGCTCTCTCTACTCTTCCTAAATCCATTCTCTCCCTAACTGTGCCTCTCTCTCATCCCTGATGCAACCAGCAGACACAATCCAAAGGGTGGTGAAGTCTTTCCCTGCATAACAATTGCATCTACTCTCTTTGTGAGCCTCGCTTCTTTTCCAGCTCATTATTGTAGTTCCAGTTGAGCTCTGGTAGGGTTTCTTTTCTTTGGTAATGTACTCTGTACCTTTGATAAAAGTGTGTCGATGATTTTGATTTATAGTTTGCTCTTTATGCAGTGTGGTATCTTGAAAGAGCTGGAGTATGCCAAATCATCTTGGGCTAATATCCTATATATATATATATATATATTTTTTTTTTTTTTTTTTTGAAGAAAGGCAAATATCCTATATTCGATGTATTATGTTTGTAATTTTCTTACCATTGAAAGAATTCATTAATCCTCTTACTCTTTGTGAAACACGAGTCATAATAACATTGCAATCAGCTTCTTCATCAAAGATCTATTTTTTTTTTTTTTTATTATTGGAGTTGACTGTTGTGTTAGAGGCTTCAAGTTTTCACTTAGACATCTATACTGTATTTGGAAGACATTGATTTATCAATGTACATCTCGATTTTTTGTGTAGCAATCTCCATGAATTTTTATCTACTTGGATCGTTTGCCAACTGCTCCATTGTCATCTCCCCGTATATATTTGTGATAATTGTAGACAGCCCCACATTAGCCAAACCAATCTCCCCATATTTGTTAGTTATCTACAATGAGAAAAAAGAGACCTTCTGTGGTAATTTGGGACATTTTGGAAGTGGAAGAGTTCAATGGTAAATATTTTAACTTAATTAAAGGTACAAGTGCTGTTGATATCAACATGTTAATTAGGATGTTTAAGACATGTGAACCTATGACCCTTTGTGATATTTCCATGGCGAATTGAAGATCGTCTTATTGTGAACTTCGAATATTAAAATGCCATATTTGATATTGTTATTTATGATTGTCATTTGAAATTAGGTGGAAGAATATTTGAGTTACTTATCGGTGCTAAATTAAATCATTTCATGTTATCGTCTCTAAATGCTATTATATTTTATGCACCCATCCTGGCGCAAAGGACAGGCAACAAAAACTAGTCCCATTTAAAAGGGAGCGTGCTAACATTATTTACAGGGGTATTTTGATAACTCCGGGAGTATTTATTTTCTCTTCCCCTCCATCCGGCCGCCGCGCTTCTTCCCGTCAATACTAAAGTTCTTCTTCGTCATCTCCACTCTCTTGACCAGAAATCCGATCACCAACAATCATTATTTATTTCTCTTCATCGATGGTGCATGTGACAATTATGGATCTTTCCTGACGAATTAATTGAACAAAACAGTAGAATTGAGGGTTCAAGTTAGGGTGCATAACCATGGATTATGCACCCATCAATAACCAAATCTGGACCCTTCATTTAGAAAATTCAGATCTAAGGATGGAGAATTAAAAGTCATTTTTATTTTCACTAGCTTTCTTAATTGACTCATATTTTTTTCGTTTTAACTCGGATTTTAATTTTTTTTTGCACAGATGGAACGAGTTCATCGTACTCTACAAAATGAGATCAATTTTCAATATTTTTTTAGGAAAAAAAATTCTAGCCTCTCGGTACCAACTGCATACCATATGGTATCTTCTTCGTTTTTAATTCGTTTTTGAAAACGTTTGCACAGTAGGGACGTGTTCATCATGATCTAGTGGATCAACAAATTTCTGGGTGAACAAATTACAAGATCAAAAAATACCACACAATACCATACAATACCACCCTGGTACGGGGTGGTATCTTATGGTATACAATGTTAAAAGTCGTAAATGACAATTAATATACTTCTACTATCATGTATTCAACCATCCTACAGTTTTGGTTTGTGTCATACCACCATGGTACGCTTTTCAAACCATAGGTATGATCTTATTTCAATACCAGTCAATACCATATGGTATAGACTGGTAAAAAATGGTTCAATTTTTTTGTTCGAAAATTATATCAAAGTGGATATAATTTTGAAGAGCACAATTAATCTGATCTAACTGTGCGGAAAAAAAAAATTTCGACTTAAAACGAGCGAGAAATCGTCCGTCAAAGATTAAGGAGGGGAAAATTAAAGACTTTTCAGTAGAAAGAGGATGCTGATGTCATGCTGATGTGGGCAGGTTACTCATAGTTACTCACCATAAGGTTACTTACCTAATCCGTTCCCAGAATTGAGAGGAGAATTAGGGGAAGAGGAAGAGAGGTTGAGAAGAGGAAACATAAGGCAGAAAGGAACAAGGAGAAAGAAGGACAGAGGAGTTGTAGAGAGAAGAAGGAATGAATGAGAGTTACAGAGAAGGTATTGGGAAATCGTTCTTGTTATTGCTTAGTCTCAACAGTGCAATACCAAAGCTTTTTATAGCTTCTACATAATATCTAAAACAGTTCTTATTTTTCTACTGTTTATAATTAGCTCCTTCCAGACCTTGGGTCATTACAGTCTACCTTAGGACAAGATTCGATCGCAACAGAAGCAAGCGAATCGACTACTCTTCCATGAGGTTTGGCAGGAATCAAGCAAGTGTGGTAGTAGTAGGACGTACGAGAGTAGGCGCTAAGGAAATTTTGTCTCGCAATGGTATTTTTCAAATACACGAAGCAAATGACCCGTTAATAAACTTATAATATGCTTTTAGAAACTTGTGATATGCTTTCCCTTCCTCTTTTCCCTCCCCCTCCTCTTCCGGTCTTCCCACTCCCCATCACATTCTACATTTACATTGCTTTCACGGAGGTTCACTTACAAATTACAATTTAGTACATAAACTTAATATGTCTTAATATTTACTGCCTAAAATTATATTTTTTTACATATAAGTCCTTAAAATATTGATGAAAAATTACATTTTATTACATAGAATGTTCTCATATTTTGATACCTAAACTTTTAAAAATTTACAAATAATCCCATTGTTAAGAAACTTGTAGGATTCTTTAAAAAAGTTGTAGTGAGATTCATGGGGTTCTGGTCCACTTGAGAAAACTTATGATCTACTTTAATAAATTTGTTTTATGAGACTTTTGGTCTACTTTCATAAATTTGTGATGGCCTTTGAGATTTGTGGCTTGCATACTTAGGGTGAGGTTGTAATCTCCAGTCTAGATTTTGTGGTGTGTTTTCTTGTGTTTGTGGTGTGAATTTTTGTGATCCCTCTTCCCCAATTGTTCATAATAATCATAATAACAATTAACAAGCGTGCCCCTAGACCCCCTTTCCTTCATACTTATCACCCTTTAAACAACAAGGAAGCTGAAATACATACACAACAAAGCCAAATCAATTACCTACCTAACCAGATTCGTAAGATGAGGGAGCTAGAAGAACTCTTTTCTATGCCATACACAAAACCAAATAAATACCTAGGAGCTACAAGTCAATTGGTCCTGCTTCACACTACCAAGGGAAGCAGCGAAGGACCAACTCCCCCAAACAAAACCACAGGAAAGAGCAACCATATTAACCGGACCTGCATATCTCTATTTGCTTAACAGTCAAAGTTTCTGAAGAAACTAAAACAACGACAAATGTGATGCTCATAACTGCGAATCTACTAACAAAAAAACCCACCCACCCTCTGCATTACTCACCTCTATATATAATCATGAAAGCTCTGGCATCACCTCCAGTCCTCCACGCTTCTGATATTTGTCACAGGAAGAGATGTATGACCAGATAGCTGCAGATCAGCAAGTGGAACAGATCCAGTCTGAGAGAATATCAACCCAACTGAGCTGCTGGATGTGTTTCCAGGAGGACTCGGGCTCAAATATGTTATCTTTCTGGGTCCAGAAATCAGTTCTGGTCTCAGCTCATAGGAAGTGGAAGAAGGGGACAGAGTAGCCAGCAAAGACCCAACTAGGTAAGGTGCAACAGGCACATCAACCAGAGAAGACGCTGCAGATGGATTGCTGTATCTCACAACTCCTCCCATTGGATGATCAAATTTGCATGAGGAACCAAATTTGCAGTACCCGTTTTGCAAGTAAAAACTGCAAGGTTGAGCCCCCTGTTTCATAGTTAAAACAGTCAAATATTGAACAATTGATCCACAAAGCAAGTAATGCAAGCTGCTGAATAATATCAGTCAACTAAATGCGACAGATATGGTCGCATAGTGAGGACTGAAGAGAGGCTGGAAAGATATAGATTCCGAGTGCTTCATGAGCTCCTCCGAGTTTCCCGCTGTCCAGAATGCCCAAGCCCCCATCAATAACAAAAAAAACCTAAGTTCTACTCCCGAACTACTAGATTCAGCATCCTAGCACATGTAGACCAACATGAAGTTTCAAACAAAAAAAGAAAGCTCAAAGTAACCCCCAAATGTATTTCTCCAGAAGTCAACAATAGTCTAGTATCATCAATGAGCTTAAACATAAAACCTCTTATTATTCTTCCCTCTTAAGTTCTACATTACCAGAAATCTCCAATTAAATGTTCTAGAACATACATTATATCAAAACTATGCTGAATTGCAGGCTTGTGCAGAGTGATTGTTTGATCACAATATATTAGAGACAATGTCCAAACGCTACAGTGTCGAAAATAAGCTTTCGGTTGGTAATACAAAACCAGAGTGCACACAACAAATAAACCAATCTATGCTCTAAAGCATCGCAAGTTATCACCAGGTCAATCAAAGCACCAAAATAATACACACATCACATGGACTCACAAGCGTAATTATCACATGTTCATGATCATGAATCATGATAAAGAGGCACAACTCTGTCAACAAATATGTTTGTTACAGTGCACCTGGATTCTGTCAAAAGCCAACTTATGAATAATAATGCGCATGTTCCCGTTAAAATTAACATTTTACCACGAGGTGGAGGTGAAAATTTCCCATCTATAATGAAGACCCCCCGCAGAGTGACCTCGTGGGGGGGGGGGGGGGGGGGAAACTCTCATACGTGAATAGAGAAAGCAAATAAAGATATCCACATACCGAACGCAAAGGCAGACCAAGTGGGTTGAGGACACTGTCTGTTGAGGGTACAACACGATCACGAGGATGATGATATCGACAAGATGAACCATATTTACAATCCCCAGTTCTTAGGTAGTACTGACATTCAGGTTCACCGGGTCTCTCAGGAAACGTTTGCTCCTTCTGGGTACTACTAGAGATGGCTACAGAAGACAACAGGGGAGGATGCAGTCTTGCGGGCACAGGTGATGTAGCAGACAGTTGTCTCACTCCATATAGAGAAGTTGCTCCAACAGCAGTATGCGCACCAGGAGACAGCACAGGGCTAACAGGTGCCTGAAACATAGAAAGCAACAAGTCCATTAGAGATCCTATTGGTCTAAACAATCAGAAAACAGTTGAGACAAATTAAATTACCGAGTAAGGGCTCCAACCAGGAATAGGTACCACTCCAGGCGAAAACATCACAGGACCATATGTCCCAGTCATATATGAACCAGGAAGAACTGGAGGCCTCACTCTCAACTCGGTAGATGCTGCTCCATACTGGTCAGATATATGAATAGAAGGAGACTGCACCGGCTGATAAAATTGGGGTGCAGATGCTGTCAATGTGTCAGCTGCCTGAGGATGATGGAATTTACAAGTTATACCAAATTTGCAGTGCCCCGCATTCAAATAGTAGGAGCATTCTTTTTCACCCTAGCAAGCGAAGCCAACAAAGAAATGAAAAAAAAAATTAGAACATGTAAAAAATGACATCAAGAGAACAGGAATACACAAAACATAAAGGTATATTATATATTCACAAAGAGTAAAGAAAATCAATAAGCGAAACCAGACCGGTCTTAATGGGTACCCATGCGTATTTAGAGTAACATTGCTCAAGGATCCACCTCTATGCTTGGGATGGTGGAACTTGCAAGAAGCACCAAATTTACAGGTTCCAGTCTTCAAGTAAAACTGCACATAAACAGCACAGCATTACCAATAGGTCATATACATAACAATTAACAACTAAGCAAGCACAAAATACAGAAAAGTTTGCAAGAACAGTTCATCCATACCTGACATGGGGGCTCCCCCACCCGTTCTGGGTACAACCCTGTTGCTCTTACAGCGGCCTCAACCTAAGCATCATGGATATCCAAAAATCTATCATCATCAAAACAAAACTATTTAACTAGTGCAATCAGAATTGAGCTAGTAAGACCAAAACGTCAGGCCATGTGACTGATAGATTTCCAGAACGTTTGTCACAGTGACCATACAAGTCCAATTGAGTACCCAGTTAAATGAAGAAAATAATCTGACAAGTGGCAGCTTAGAATGTTCAAGTCTCCAATTTGACGGCACCCAACATTCTCATAGACTCGGCGGGATCATCAATTTGGGTATGCATTTCACATCTGTGGAACTAATTGAGGAAAGGCAAGCCATTTTTACACCAGTGGTGAAGAACACATTTGCATTAGCAGGGGATGCCCGATGATCAGCAAAACACAAAGGAAGAAAAAAAACATACCGCAGCGCGATCACGAGGATGATTGTAGCGGCACCTACCACCATACCCACAAAACCCAGTCCGCATATAGTAAACACAATTGGGAACCCCTGGCCGCTCAGGATAAGGTTCGCTACTGGTAAGCCCCAATCTCCACATCGATTCTGCATCCAAGAAACAAAAACCCTAATAGAACGCCGCATTCCCAGAACACACAAACCCATCAAAGAAAAAGCTATCCAGGCTCATTACACACAAAAAAACAAAATGGTTCAAAACAGAAATGCGAATGAAATTAAACCCAAATGCAGACCTTCGAGACCAGTCTCCTGCCCAGGACTCCATTCAGTTTGCTGCTGCGCCGATTGCGACGCATTGGCAGCCTGGTTGTGTCCGTACAACTCCATCGACCTAGATGCAAGGATTCTATACACTCTACAGAAAGATGTGTAGATGACGGTGACGAAAAAAACTGGAGAAATGGGAAAGAGAGGAAGAAAGGAGCAAGTTCTAGGGTAACTGTGCAAAGCGGAGGAGAGAGAAAAGGAGGATCGCCGGCGATGCCGATCCGAGAGGAACTACAACAAGTGAAGGGCAAAGAGAGAAAAGGAAGGAGGAAAGAGAAGGTGGTGGGTTTAAGGTAAGGCAGAGCTGCGGTCACGAAATTAAGTAGTGGAGCTTATGCGCGCGCGCGCTCTCCCCCTCAGTTCCACACTTCCACTTCACTCTCTGCCTCAACTCTCAAGGAGAGGACCCGGTCTGGTTTCCTTCGGAGACGGCTTCTTTTCTGTTTTTCCTTTTTTTTTTTTCTTCTTCCTAAATTTGTTTCGTTTCTTTTTCAATTTCAGTACCTGAAGTTCTGGTTGGTTCACAGTTTAGCTTGCTGACTTTTCATTTCATGTTCACAACCTAGGTTTCAAGTTGATGGATCTTCTTCAGTATTTGCACAACTTCGAGAGGTTACCATGAAGATGGACCTTGTTACCTCGGAAAGTGTGATTGGTGTGAGTCTTCCTCCCACAATCTTGAAGGATGTCAAGCAATGATCCATGCCTCAAAAAACAATGGTGGACAACCTAGGAATGGCAACCCTTACAACTCTACCTACAATCCAGGGTGGAGGAACCTCCCGACTTTCTATGGTCCTAGCCCACAAATGGGAAGCCACCAGGTTTTCAAGGGTAGTCCTCGAATCAAGTATCATACCAAAGGTCTCCTCAACAATCATTCCATCCATTTAGCCAAGTGCCTACACAGAGCAAGGAAGACCCTCTGATGGTCGAATGTCAAGGCTAGAGGATATGGTAGGACAATTCATATTAACATATGCAAGAACGTTCGATACAATTGATAAGTTTGTGGAAGGTACCATCGGGAAGTTCTCAATCTTGGAAGCCGACCAAAGGAATCAGCAAGCTATGCTTCTAGAACTTGGAAGCACAAGCGAGCACGATTGCTCAATCTTTGGCAGTTTGACCTTATGTCCATTAGATGAAGTTCACGTTGAGCGATCTGTGGGTCTGGAGATGAGCTTGACGTTCACGAATCAGGCACGTCATTTTGGGTTCATGACCATCAGATGAAGTTCACGGGCGTGAACTCAAGAATCTGCCCATGAACCTGCTCATGGCCAGAGCCAATGTCATGGCTTAAGTTGTAAGCACCAATAGATTTCAAAAGTTCACGAGCTTTTTACAAAGTTAACGGTCTTGAACTTTAACCATGGCACGGGTCTATAAGTACAAGGGACTATAAGACAAAGGGGCATCTTAGAGAGAAAAAATAGTGTTTAGAGATGCAGAGTGAGAGTGACGATTTGGAGTGTCTTTGGAGCAAAATCTTTATCATCCAGGCCTCAAATCCATCCAAGAATAAGAAGTAAAGATCAATCAAGTTTGAGAAGATGAATCTACTCATGAGTTTTTCTTTTTCTTCTCTTTTGTACACACACACTCTCTCGCTCTCTCGCTTTCTATTAACTAAATATTTGCATTGTAAGATGTAGAGCTCAGGTAGATGTTTGTTATGGATTTTGTTGTATAGATTGGAGTATTCTTGATTTCCATTCAACTATCTATCAAATATTATTTGCATATGCATGATTTTGTGGGTTCTATTTGTGTGATTGTAACATTTTCCCATTTTCTAGTGTTTGACCACCATAGGTTTGGAGAGTTTTTGGGTGACTTGACCATAGCCTCACATTACATTCTCATACTGTATGTTTATCAAGTAGTTGCATGGATTATAATTCAAGTTGGGTAGAGTTAGGTCCTCGAGATTTAAGAGGTGATTGTGCCTCAATGTGATATGATTCGAGGCTCGAACTCCAAGACTCACGAGTTACCAAAGTACACAGCCAATTGAGCTTCAAGATAACTCACACAATCTTCAACAGAAAATAAAGATAACTCACCCCAAAACGCGTCTTGTCGGTTAAGGTCGGTTTCTCACTTATGAACCATGGATCTCTCCCATGCTTTGTCGATGTGGGATTTTCCTAAGGTGATACAGTTTCTCGACCTATTTTATGCTAGGTTGTGCTTATTTTGTCACATTTCAGGTCCTAGTAGTGTGGGAAGGTCAAAGATGAGTTTCGAATCTTTCGGAGGTCAAAACGAGCCAAGAAGTGGAGTTTGTGCAATTGTCACGGGTAGGAGGTAATTCTCACGGCCGTGACAATAGTAGGGGTGGGCAAAGGGAAACAGGTATTTGGAAAAACCTGTTACACCTCGCCCTTTCCTTAAGTCAAAATGACTATTATGCCCTTGGTCAAAATTTGTCAAATTCCACCATAGTATCGATTAGGATTAAAAATGTGAACTCTCGGTTCAAATGGTGTCGTGTTCTGGCACAAAATGAGGTAGTTACGGACATTAACTGAGCTTCGGATTAAACTCACCCGTAATTGTGAATTCTCAAATAGCCTTTGAACTAATTAAACTCTAGATCCCTACCCCACTCGGCCTCATCGGTAAAACTAATAAACTGTCGAGTTTTATTCTACCACCCGATTGAAAGCACCCCGCAAAGGAACAAGTGTAGAGAGGCCACTCACCAAAACCTAGAACAAGCACCAAGTTCTCTGGGAAGTCGATTCAAGTGCCATGTCCGCGAATGGTAAAGCGAAGGGTGACAGAGGTAGACGCCAAAGTCCTTAAGGCTTAGCGGTGGATGGGTTTTTCAAAAATTGAATTCTATAGAGGGATGCTTGTGGAGATTACATGGAGTAGAGAGATGTTATTATTTAGAGGAAAGGAATCAGAAGTATAGAGATGTTGCCAGCTAAGAATTAGAAGGCAAGCGAACATTAGATAGAGAGCGCCCACCGCTAGAAGGGTCCCTCAATGCAACCAACGCAGGAACAAAGGATGAATTTGACGATTCTTTTTGCCGAAAAGGACAACTGACACAGACATGTTAGACGAGATGATTAGAAGAAATATTGAGGAAGAAACAGGAACATGACGGTTCCTGGTGTGATGAGGATGATCGATCTATCGATCGGCTACGGGGATTGGTCCACATGGATGCGTGAATGTAGAGTTTAGCTTCATGGTTCTCACTTCGGGTTGTGCATAGCAAGGATGCATGTGAATTGGAACTAAGTCAGCTAGTGTATGAGGTGAGTGTAAAGGGGGTAAATTCTACGCCATACGTATTTTTCAAGTATTTGTCGTACGAGCTTTAAGAAATTTGGTGAAGTGGTTGCCATTGTTGTTCGTGCTTATGATTGATGATAAATTCTTTATTTAAGCTATGATGTGAAGCAACTGTTTAAGAGTTGATTATTTGATTTGAAGCTTTACGTTAATGAGTAATTGTTGAAGTTTAAGAAACAAGTTTTCTTTTAAGAAGTACACCACCTTCAATGGAGGTGAAATAGTTTAAAGAGTTTTTAGTCACTAGCGCCAGTCTGTTGCCGTTTGAGATTTTGAGATAGAGCGGCAATTATGTTCTTGAGAATTATAAGATGAGCAACAGTTATGCTCTTGAGAATCGTGGTGAAGAGACAACGTGATAAGTTTAAGATGTTAGGCGGGTGAATCGTTACGACTCCCCTAACTAAGTTTAAGTTTAAGGAAAGCCTGGATGGCTTCTCATACATATAGGTAGGGCAATCGAACTAGCTAGTGAGGGATCCCCATGTCAGTCAAGTATTTCAGTCTTTAAGAAAGGAGAGTAACTTCAACTCCGTCAAAGTTTAAGAGTTAGGTTTTAAAGGGGAAGAACACACAACTTCCACAAAATTTAAGTAGGTGTTTTAAGAAAAAGTGCTTCAGAAGTAGAAAGTTTAAATCGTAAGGGCGTAGAATGACCCCATCTCACTCACCGGGCCTTAGTAAAGAAATGAGCGAGAACCAGCTCGATAGCATCTAGTTAGAGGAGTAGTTAGAGTAGCGAGATCGAGAGAATGGTTCGAGGCAAGCCAACTAGAGGAGGATGGCTCGAACGTCACGGAGGATACCAATCAAGGTTTTTGAATAAGTGACAACATTAGAGACTTTTTAGCTATTTCATTTTATGATTATGAGTATAGACTGGAGATTCAGTTTAAGATTTTATGATTGAGGTTTGCCCAAAGTGTTAGGGCTTTGTTTTAAGAAATTACAGTTTATTCTCAGTATTTCGTTAAAGTTATTTATGAAAAATTTCCGCTATGTTTCCAAGTATTTTCAGTTCTGATTTATTTCACAATTTAACAAGGGTATTTTAATAAAATTTAGTACCCGACCGGGTTAGGGTGTTATATTTTGGTATCAGAGCCGACACTCCTCTGTTTCTTGGTCTCCAAGGAATACTGGAGTTACAATCTGTGGTTTTCAAGGGTTTAGTTTTTAAAGGAAAGGAAAAAGTGAGTGTCAGTTAAAAGTTTGGCCAAACGAGTCAAAGTCTTTCGAGGATTTTTAGAATCTCCATTATACTCTAATCATGATAAGGAAATAACTTTAGGATGCCTCACGGGGTTATGATATGTCTCGCGAAGGAGAGGAGTCCTATGGGGACGGCCTAGTAAGCTCTTTTTGTGAGCGAGAAGGGTCATCCAAGGCAACTCATACCATACGCGATTGTGATCTTCTCACTATAAGGTTCAGGAAGACGCCAAGTATCTAGGATTTCGATAGGCATTAGTCAAGGGAGTTACACCAAATGACGGTCATCATCTAAAGGAAAGGAAGCAAGGAAGGTTCGTTGCATTTACGAGAATTGAGCATAGGGCTACGACCCGAGGAGTAGAGGAGGTTAGGTTTAAGCAATGCTAGTGGCGTTGAAGCAAAGCAAATAAGAGACTAAGGAGGTCATGGGGATCCTAAAAGGATTTCAAAGAATCAATCCGTCCAGGCTCGTGGGAGGCACGTGCGTGTGCATTTAAGAAATGAGGAATCCCTATGGATACTGTACGTCCCTAAAGAGGAGGAATCGTGAACCTAGGAATCTAGATCGACGGAAAGATCCTCAAGGGAAGGAACCAACCATCGAGATAAACAATAAGGTAAGAGCCAGCGCAGTACGGAACCAGTAATTACAAGATAGAGGATAAGGTATTCGAGGGATTTCTACCGAGTGTTGAGGTGTTCTGCGTTGTCGAGGTAGGCATCAGGTCAGAGGATGGAGAATTTCGCGGTCACCATTATCCCAGTCTAGACAAGTCACGAGATAGGGATACAATTCAAGGAAGTCAAAAAAATCAAGATGAGGGGCACCCCATTGTGAGGGTAGCTAGGTTTGAGCAAGCAAGACTGGAGGTGGCACCTTCTAAGCCGAGGTATAAGAAGGTCATT